AACAAAAAAATGATTAAATGCAGGCATATATATAGATATTTACTTTGCCATTTAAGCAACACGCGCGCGCACACACACACACACACACACACACACACACGAACAAACAAAGAAAAAATAACATAATACCAATAATAAGAGAACCTCATCAATATTAGTATAAAGATAAAGAAAATTAGAAGTTTGCCTGTTAACGTAAATGTCCGGGTTTCAATTCTCAGTAGTGGATGCGCACTGTTGATGAGTGCCCAATATCTGACGAAACGGCCAGCATTTGCTTTTTGCATTCTGTTGAGGTTTCTTCTAGACTCGATGAATTACTTAATTATAATTATCTTAAATCCTCCTAATAATTTCCATCACTTGTATATCCTTGCTTGAACTGGCTTCTAATGCTCTGGATGGGGCGACTTGGAGATTGTAGTCGAGGATCGTGTGGGCACAGTCCTATGGGTAAGGAAAACTTGGATGGTATGTGATCGAGCGCCGCTCTATCGAGTCTAATTCGCTACCACTTCGTCACTCGTTGGTACAGTTGGTATGACGTTTGCCTGATAACGTAACTGTCTGAGTTTCAATTCTTGGTAGTGGATGCGCACTGCTGATGAGTTCCAAATATAGGGCCCGTCCAGTGTTTTCTGCATTCTGTTGTGGGCTCTTCTAGAAAATGAATTACTTAATTATAATTATATCAAACCATCCTAATAATTTGTATCACTAATATATAAATAATATTACAATTTTATAATCGAAGAAAAATAGTAAGATATTCCTATACTGTTACAATATGTATCGAGCTAACACATTATTATAATATTACTATATAAAATACGATGCTATTATTTTTTTTTAATTTCTAATAGTATTAATTCACCCTTTTCAAAGTCAATATTATTTGGACGACTAGATATCGTGCAATCTTTATATACATGTGTTTTGCTTCATAATAATATTATATGTAAAAGATTTGATGAAGCCAATTTGAGTTCATTGCATGTAATACGAGAAGAGACGAACAAATTACAACTCAAATACTGAAAAGAAAACAGCAATTAATAAATATTTGTAAATATGAAGAAATATTTCCTCTTTACACTTTGGTATTTCGAAAATGAGTGACAGTTTTCTGTGTGTTTGAGTGTGTGTGAATCGAATTTCTGCAATGCATTTTTATAAGTATTCCATTTAATACATTGTTTTTATTTAATTTACCATTTCCTGTGGAAATGAAATAAATTCAGATTTTTGATAAGTTTTACTTCATTAAAGTATTATTCATTTTAAAAAAAAAAACTTTTTGTACAAATTAAAATAAAATAGTATGTATATTTAATAAATAAATAAATTGTATTGGAATATACGGAGGAAGAATAATGCAAATTGTAGTTATTCTAGGTGACAAAGAACGCAGAAACCAAAAAAAAATTACATTCAAATCATAAAGGAAATTAAAGAAATATCCATATTAATTGATAAATTAAAACATCACATAATCTATTATAAGATATTACTTATTTCATTACTAAATGAAATATGATTTATTTTAATTAAATATTTTCCTATTTCAAAACTACTAACTGCTGCAGTAAAAAATCAACCATGCCAGTTATATGTTGAAAGATACATGATCGGCTGGCACATGAAGAGAGAATTAAAATCTTGATCATATTCGGAAATCAAGATTTCATGTTTCTTCTTTGATATTGTACCTCATGATAACGCCATATATAACTTTGGCTTTCTGATTTTCGCTTAATCATATCATTTTTGAAAATATATATGTATATTGAAATTTTAATCAACACGTCATCATAAATTGTCCTATTTAAGGTCTTCAATAAATTCTTTAATAAATTACCATTGATAATACCAAAACAATAACGTCTGTAAATAAACAATAATGTCAAAGAGGAAACCATAATTTCGGTTCATGAAAAATATTTTGTTTTCTTCTCAGAATTAGAAAGGCCCTATTACATCCGAATGACAAAAAACGGTGATATTTATGATTGAGGAGAAATACAGAATGAAAAAATAACCATACTTTCCCGAGAAATTGCATTCTATTTAATTTTCAAAAACAATTTGAATAATTAAATGCTGCATTCAATTTTCATTTCACTTTTGCTATCTTGTATAATGCGTATATAGCAGCCGTTTCAAAACTAGGTCCCACATGAGGTGTCCGCAAATGTAATAATGGCTGCTCGTGAACTCGTACAGTTTACTATGTTCTATGTTTACTCCATATACAAAGCTTTCATCCTCCCCCTTCTAGTGTCTATTTTAAAATGGTTCAATGCTGTATATTAATTTGTTTTAATTAAATTCGTTTAACGTTGTTTTAGCAATTATTTTTCAAGTGATTATTTATGAAAGCTAAAATATTTTGTTCGTTGCAAAACATCAGAAAGTTTAGTTGCGTGTATGTCTTTCTCACTGTGACATTTAGATTAAACAATCTATCTATCTGTCGAGTTAGCTCAGACATCCATGCGTCTATCACGCCAACCACCATAGCCGTGCATCAAGTTCGGAATATCATTAGGGAGCCATTCTGTGTCATAACATAGGTGGTCAGGTAAACATCGGTGCTAGGCACCCAGAACTGTAGATCACTCCAGGTTCTTCTTTTACTCGCCAGCAGTGTCCTAATTTACGTAAGATTGTCGAGATATCAGGGTTGGTTCATAAAGATATGATTTAGTCGAATATTGTCGCCATATGTTAAGTATAACTCACAGCATCCGGGCGTATGATCCATCAAGCTTAGATTGCAAGTCTCAAGACAAACTCTCTCAGAAGAATCAATAAAATCTGTCGAATCTTTTGCATGCCAATTAAGCGTGATAAATTCTATTGAAAAGGATGAGAAAATTCGAATAGCTAAAGCCTTGACGGCCTGAGGTAAAATGGATGTAATCCGGAAATCTGATCTGCCAGACAAATTCAAGCGGAAATAGTTTCAAGGCACTGAAGATAGAGTGATGACGTATGGTGCCACTGCCTGGACATTAACTAAAACCTTACAGTCCAAGCTTGGTTAAACTATAATATATGGTAAATGTATGCAATATGTCTTGCATAAGAATTTGTATAGAGTAACAATATAGATTTTCTTAGCAAAAGGGGAGGTGAATACAGTGTTTCAAATGTCATAAATGAAAGGATTTCAGGCGATGTGTGTGTATGATCTGTCACTGCTAATTCAAGACGATTAGTGTCGCTAATCAATAATAAAGAAACTTATGACAACAGATCAACTTACAAGATTATTTTCTTTCTATTTTTTTATTTTACCCGGCTGTCGTTTGCAAACATTTTCCATCGATATATTTTGCTCATGAACTCAACACGTCTCATATTTTTCTCCTGTATAAATATCAGCACTTTATCACTTATTGAATTTTATGATTTATTCCAATGCAATTTTCTGACAAGAGTAGTTACTCAAATTTTGGAATTATCTAGGGCATATTTCTTCTCCTCTAGATTGACTAATGCTGTAATAAAGTAAATTCCTTAAAGACATTTTTCTTTGTGTTCACGAACAATATTATTTCAACGATGACGATGTTGATTTCCGTTACGCAATGAAGAATGTGACGATCAATTTATAATTGTAAAAAAATATATTATAATATTTTACCCTGCATGCCTTAACCATCTTGAGAAATTCCGCGTAGATTGTTGGTAAAATAAACTTGACATTACTAATGGAATCATTTTAGACGGTTTAAAATTGCTGAAATGAAATTGTTAAATCTAAAGAAACATATTGGTTTCAAATGAAAAGGTGGAAACACGTAGATTAATTATTTCTAACTCGTCGTCGTTTCCATCCGTCCGTTTCGAGAGACGATGATGCAGCGCCAGTCCGCTACGAGCTTGTGCGGAATATATAGAGAACTAGGGCTGCCCAGACGTCTAGTTCCCCCTCTCGGCCTTACTAGAAGAGTCCAAAGGAGAAAATAAACCAATAGAGTTTGGTACCAGCACAGCTGCAGGAGTTGCTGGAAGGTAGCGCAAACTGCCGTCCATCTGCATTAGGGGCTCCACTACGGGTTTGAATTCAGAGTTGTCCTTCTCCTAGAAGAGTTGCCATCTAGGAACCCAGTCTGTCCTGCTATTTAGCCATAGCTGGAGGGAGAAGAAGAGGATTCATACCTTTTCTCAAGGGTATTAGCGCGTAAGTGAACGTAATGAATTCGACTGGGATTTCCCAATCCAAGCCGCTATCCATTACTCCATCGTGCCTCAATAGAAAAAATGGAATGGTTAGAACGTATAAATTCTGATCATGAGAAACGGTTTGGAAGCTCACTACGGTCGATTTTTCAGGAAGGAGATTTCCTGATGTTATCGGATAGGAGGGGTCCCAACCAGAGCGAACAAATTTGGAATGTGCCTGAAAACAATATCACGGGTTAACCCAAGCTTTCTGAGTGAAATATGTAGACGGAATCATTAGGGGTTAGCACAAATCTCAATTTATCGTGGCCGAAGTGTGACGAAAGCAGATAGCCTAAACACGCATATACGCATATATTAGGGTTAATTTCCGACTAGCAACCAAATAAAGGTCACGTGGGAGTCTTATGACATTTTGGGAAGGCAGGTCAAAAGTTTGACTGACCCAATTACCCGTAGCGACAAATGTCTAAACAGAAGCTAGACAGTGGACTGATGTAAGCTGGAATTCGCGCCAAAACGTAAGACACGTGATAGTCAGAGATTCACTCGAGAATCAGTTGCTATCTTGACTTTGAAGAGGCAAGACCTGAAGTCGAAGCGCTGGTAGTTTATGAACGGAAAGATAAGATTCATTTGATAGTGATGGAACTTATCCAGTTCAACCCAGGCAAATCCGGACAAGAAATATAACAAGAAATATTCCTGTTCGAGAACCCCACATTGAGAACGCAGAGAAATTTATACGCTGAGGATTCAGCCTGCGTTTAAAGTAAAAGTAAAACCAGAGAAGAAAGCATATACCTCTGTTACAAGTTGAATTGTGTAAAGAAAAGAAAAAGGAAAACCATAGAAGAAACATATTCCTCTGTTACAAGTTGAATTGTGTAAAGAAAAGAAAAAGGATATCCAGAGAGGAAGAAAGTATATATCTCTGTTACAAGTTGAATTATGTAAAGAAAGAAAAACGAAAACCAGAGAAGAAAGTGTATATCTCTTTTATAAGCTAAATTGTGTAAAGAAGAAGAAGGAAAGAAATAAGAAAACCAAAGGGAGGAAGAAAGTATACATCCCTGTTGCAGTGAGCCGGGTTTGGAAACTGAACTGTCTACAGAAGAAAAAGGAAGGAAACAAAAGGGCAAAACAAAGAGAGGAAGAAAGTGTATACCTCTGTTACAGCCGGACAGTGTGTGAAATTGTGTTTGTGTCGAGAAAAGAAAAGAAAGGACAATGACAAAAAAAGAGAACTGAATATAAAATGTGACACCATTTAGGGGCACAAAAAGAAAAAAAAAAGGAAAAAAATAAAGGAAAAAGAGAAAGGAAAGAAAGGAAAAGAGAGGCGAGACTTAAGCTTAGATGATAAAAGAAACCACCCACGACCGAGACACATTGACAATGTTATTTTGATAATGGAAAAAGATGGTGAAAATTCTGACGACCAGTGTCGTAGGACTGTCTGACAAGGACCAAGTGAATACAGAGCTTTGGATAGATAACAGCCACTTAATGCTGGCGAACAACTAATTGACAAACCACAGACCGGCTAAGTAAACTCCGAGACATTTCGACAATGTTATTTTGATAATGGAAAAAGATGGTGAAAATTCTGACCACTAGTGTCGTAGGATTGCCTGACAAGGAACAGGTGAATACAGAGCTTTGGATAGATAAGAAAAATTAACTGTGTCAGAGGGGGCAAACAATATTGTCGGGAAAGGATTTAATAGGTCGTCTGCTAACCTCACACGAAGCCAACCCTGGGTTAAGTCTTTGCCGTTTGACAAGACATCTATGGGTGTTAGAATTCGGTTATGATAATAAAACTATGTTATCAGAAATTGGCACCAGGAATGCAAATACGGCTAGGACAATGAAACTGTGTTTTTCGGGACGGGGATCGGCTGTGTTTCGCTAGACGACTACCCAACTTGATAATTGGCATTGATAGATCCCAGGTGACATAGGGGATGAGAGCTGCGATTAAGGAAAGAAAAGGAAAAGAAAAAGATAATTTTTTTTTGAGCAAGATATATTTTTTTCCTAAAACAAAGCTAGCCGGATAACACCCACCCGGTTGGACGCCATGGGCCGAATGTCAACGAGGGCCAGGCGGAGGTGATACGTGACGCAAGGGTGGGTGGAGCCGCCGCCGCCCATTTAGAGGATAGGTATGAGAAGTTGCTACGAAGAAGTGCGGAGAACCGTTGACGCCCCTCTGAAGTATGGTGAGATATCCATATGAGAATACGAGAAGGTGGGAGTAAGAGAAGACTTCCAAAAATGGAAAGGAGTGGAAATTCCTGACCAAAAATAAAAGAAGTGGATATGGATTTAGAATTATCGAGGAACCTCCAACCCCGACAAAGCCACCCCGGTTTTGGTCGGCGTCCATATAAGCCAAGTCGCAGCGAGCAAAAATCAGTTCAATCCAGAATTGAGTTAAGTTCGGACTCCGGTTTTCCAGAGTGCTCAGTTGAAGCAGGCCTCGCAGAGCTGACTTGAAAGATTCGCGCAACTTCCGAACTCATCTTCAATCCAAGAACAATTTATATTGAAGAGCGACTTAGATCCATACCACCAAAATAAGTTTTTCGACTATCGCCTGAAGACACACCAAGAACCAATTTCTTAAAGAACAGACAACTTAAGATGTTAAGACTCACCTAACAAAAACAACGTGTCACAATCCATATAGCGGGTCAGGAGATAGACGCAGTCCTATGTATCCAGCAACCAGATATAAAGTATTTTTATCCTTTTTTTGATACTTGAACCTTTGAGTTATCATTTTATTTTCTTTTATACATATTTGTGTGATACCACCCTCGTTTGAACTCAACTTGCATTACGGCCCCAACGACTGATTGATTTCGTCTGCCTAAGATCAATTCACAACGTGGGTAGGCGGACTGGAGATCAACGCAGTTACTTTGGTAACTAGACGTTGGAAGCGAGTTGGGAACGACGAGGCTGATATCGGATCTGGCCAGATTCCCATTCGAATCACCAAAAGGTTAGAACGTCACATTTGGGTGCCGCGACCAATACCAAGCTAGTTGGTCGTCACAGGACGGGACAACACGACTGACGCAGACAGGCGGACGTCACGTTTGGAGCGGCGACACCCGAACGAAGCAGCGAGGAAAAAGAGAAGGCTGTGGAGAGGGACGTCACAAAAAGATAAGTAATCATATTTTGGACCTGTAGTAGAAAGATATACATACATCCATGAATCTTATGTTCTTGCAAACACCTTTCTACATGTCAAAACAATAATTGTAACTCCTATCCTATCCTATTTTGTGTATGCGTTGGTATCTGCATTCAATTCATAGTAATTTATACTTATATTTTTGTATGTTCGGGTTGAGTTGACTCCATTTGGAGTTAGGCGAATTTTGATATCCCAACGTAAGTTTTGAGATCTGGTCGTAGGATGTTTTAACTCATACTTATCTGTTCTTTTATTTTGATATTTGTATATTTGTACATATTAAAATTCTTGTATCAAAAATCGCTAAGCCTTATAGTTCATCCTTGTATTGTGGATCAGTATTCGTGTTGAAATCTGGGAGAGATAGCTTGTATCTCTCCACAGGTGTGAGAATGTATATATCTCCTACTCGGCGTATGATCGCCTTATAAACCCATTCGTCGACTGGGGCATTTGACAGAAGCGTGCTGGCCTTGTTCAAATAGTTGATTACGCTAGATAACACGCTCTTTCACAGAAAATGTAACTTCTCAGCATAGTTGCAGTATAAACAAAACATGCACCAGAAACGCTATAGTACATAGGAATCCACGAATACGACTATTCCAGTAATTTGTGTCCACGCTGCTTTTTCATTCCGAATCAGGTAAACTAATGCTGGGTATATTAATTAGATTCAAATTTTGAGTGACTGCAGAAATCATTGAAATATAAGATACATTTAAATAATTAAACTCGTTTAAAGACATTGGGTTTAGTAATTGATAACAGTGAATCTAGAAACCTTAAAATGGCACAATATAACATTTATTGAAGACAGAAACAACAGACATGAATAATATATTTATTGCATTTCTTTGAAGAAATGTGTCTTTGCATGGCGACATTCTCCAAAATATGTATACAAGAATCTTCTAAGATATTCAAGTTGTATACAGCAAAAAATTACATATTATCTGCAATTGATAACGTAATTGCTGATGTGTTTGAAGCCTCACCGTTTATCCCAAGGCAAGCAGATGAAACTACCGACTCTGAATTGCATTCTAAACATTTTATTAGTTTCCGATATGTATCTGAATGGAATATAATTGGAAGTCTTTTAGGATTTTATATTGCAAATAACGATAAAAGTACCTCGAATTCAGCAGATGTGGTAGAACATGTCTTAAACTTATTTAGTCATACTAAAAATTGCCTATAGCCAGACATGTGATAGAGCAGATCTAGTGACATATGAAGGAGATGATTTACAAACTGAATTGATGGAGAAACTGTTTCTCTATACCAATTTTCTTCATTCCTAGGCATATAATCTATTTTCGATTTGAAGTGACAAGTTAATATTTTTTGCATTCAGATTTGTTTTTGTAAATGTGCAACATCTAGTATAATGCATAAGAGTATCTTCAGCGATTTCAGCATCAGCATTCCATGTTAGATGCACGATGATTGTATAGCTTCAGAGCTATGTCAGATATAAAATAGTTGTGCGTTAATTTCTAAATATTTTGGACAAGATTATTACATTACATGACGATATATGAAACTGAGAATCTAGTAGTTAGACTAAATTACATCACTTGATTTTCATAAATTTGTTTCATACAATAATGTCAAAAGCAAAAAATTGATCTCACAACAGAGACAATATGTAAAGTGCAATGATGTTATTTCATAATGAAATAAGTGATCTTATTTAGTACTTGGAAAATTGATATAATTAAGAATTAAGAAAACATTGTCATGGAAACTATAGCAGGCAGTCTACAATTCAAATGAAACAGGGAACAGCAAAGGAATAAACAAAACAACTTATGACAAAACAGATCAAATTATTCTACACGCCACATAGGATGCGATTTAGTTACATATAAATTTCGTGTTGCTTCATAATCTGTATTTTTGTCTGTTAAATATTTAAACACTTTTAAACACATTAACTATCCTTACAATTTCAGTTAAAGATGAAAGAAAGTTCCAAATTTTGGACAAATTACGACCAATCATAGTAGACACAATGGCTTTAAAACTGTTCTTCTATTTGTTTTATACGTAATTGAGAAACAGACAATTCTTGGGATAAATCAAGTAAAATATTTTATGAAAAATATTTTTAAAAAATGCTATGAAACCTACGAACTTGGAGTAAACATGATGTATTTTTAATTCATCCATGTTTGATTTAATGTACTAGAAACGAGCCTATTTGACGCAAAATCAATTCTGATTTTGCTACATAGAATTTTCTGAAGTGAATACTAGGATGAGAAATACATTGAAAATTAAAGAAAAATATAATTATTCCTTACCGTATATTTTAAACGGATATAAATACACTCTAATTGTCTTCTGTTTATTTAACAGAGGAAAGAAAATGGACAGTTATGTTCTGAAACACACAAAAGCTGCAGTAGGTGTTTTACTTTCAGAAAAAAGTCTCTATATCGCCGGATATATCACATTGGTATTCAATCAAGTGCTGTTGAGATATATTTGTGTTCAAGGACAAATTATTTCATTCTACCTAGAACTGATTGAAATGAGATATTTAAACTTTTCTCGTATTTATGGCATGAATATATTATGAATACAATATATTGCTTAACACATTGTACTCAGTGCACAAATCTGTGTGTATGTATATATATAATTATATTGGTCATAATACTACATTCATATCTCGAGGACTTACGTTATGACTATTTGACCATGGCTCAATTAGGACTCATTTAAACACACAGTGAAATCAAACTAAAGCCATACGCAATACAATAGTAGAAAATGAAAGTATAATAGCCTAAGCCACATCTAAAATAGTAAAAGTAATGGCAATAAAAAGAAAAAGACATCACACAATAATATCACCTATGAAGACAGCCAAAGCATACTGACCCTGTTTGGAAAATAAGACATAGCCGTAACTTCAGACGGATACATTAATCCGCACATTCAGTTTGTGTCCGGAAAAGAATACACGTGTATGAACACAACAATATTTAGATATAAAGCTTAATAACCTTGTCAGTAGACTTTAACGAAACATTTATAAAAAAAAATGATTGCTGCCCAAATACATTATTATCCTATAAGTATCTGTACATATATATATATATATATATATATATATATATATATATATATATATGTATATATGTATATATATATATGTGTGTGTCAATGAAATAATTTAAGAATAAAATTTCTATTGTTTAATATACAAAAAATTTTAAAAAATCATATCGTATTTCAAGCGAAAGTGAAATTCCGCCAATAAATTGATATTTGACATGAACAGTACATATTGAAATTGATATATTAATCGATGTCAGTTTCCAGTTCCCTATCTCATTTGAACATTGGTTTCCATGAATTCCGTTAAGAATCTATCTATCTATCTATCTATCTATCTATCTATCTATCTATCTATCTCTACACACCCACACCCACAAATATATACTAGATGAATTACTTTTATTATTTATATATATATATATATATATATATATATACAGTTCAAATATACAGCATATATATATATATATATATATATATATATACAGTTCAAATATACTGCATATATATATATATATATATATATATATATATATATATATATATATATATATATATACAGTTCAAATGTTTGAAGCCGCCCTCAGAATTAGCATGAGATGAACTTGACAGAACATTGAAAAAATGAAAAATAACACTTGAAATCATAACAAAGAATGAAATTATCAACATTCTACTTTAAGAATCTTTTGCAACGAATGCCAGAAATTTGTGCTGCAGTAATCAAGGTTAAAGAGGATATTTTTTGACAGCAAAATTTAATCATAGAATACGTTTTTCCTTTTTCCATAATAAATTTTTCATAAAAAATCATGACTCCCTTTTTAACCAAGTATAATAAGGTTCTCTTAATTAAAGTACAAAACAACTACCATTTGAATGAAATATGTAAATAGGCAAAATTTCCTTATATATGAACTTCTTCAAATGACTTAAACTATGATTAAATAAGTTACAGTATTCAGTAAAGAAGCATTTATTTTCATGACAACCATAGACAACATGGAGCATAAAGTCGAATGTAATCTTTTCAAATATGATTAAATGCATTTGTGAACTTATAAGATTTTTGTTTTAAAAATTTTAACAAATATGTTTTGAAAAGAATACCAGAGAATTCTTGGCAAATCTAATCAACGAGGAGGGTAATATGATCGCGTATAAAATCGTCACACTGATTACATTTAACATCCTTTCAGAGTGTTTTGTATTAACAGAAAAGATACATTTTTGGAAATAATAAAATATCTGTTCTAAGATGGTCCATGTTCTTTTTCCAGTTGAACATCATGGTTATTCTTAATTTCTTTGTATTTTTCAATATTTTAAAGGGAACTTAAAATATGTATTTTTAACATAGAGTCTAGAGACAAACAACACTATATATATATATATATATATATATATATATATGAGGCTCTAACACCTTAAACAATACTGTGCTACCATATCTGAAAATGCATTTTCATAATTAAATGGTATATTCACAACTTGAACTAAAGTTCCCTGAATGGGACTAAATAATTAATACACCAAAATTTAGAACTATCACAAGTAATACATTAAAAAGTGCAAATAAGAGGTCTCATTTTGTATATTCAAAACAAGAGCCGAAAACTTTTTCAATAAAAATCTCCTCCTTCAATTTTAAATTAAATTGAGTTTGAAAGTAAAATGGGCTTAACCGTTCCATCTTCAAGCGAAATTTTTTTGTTGAATAACGTATATCTGAAATTTACTTGTTTTAAAATTGAAAAACACAGGGAAGAAGCTAAAAAACCTTTTGGGTTAAAAATGAGATGTTAGCATCAGGTATTTAGAACCCGCAGAAGTTCAGGAATGGTACTCATTCTAAGAGAAGAACATTTGAAACAGATGAAACATATTAACAGCTATATAGTCT